TTTCCTGATATGTCTCTCCGAAAGACAGCTTACAAAATAAGCTGTCGGAAGCTGAAATAGCATAAAAAATTTACGTCGGCATACTTAGTACATTATATGGATATTATTATGAGTCATACAATTTAATGAAAAACAAGTAGTGACGTTATTATGACTGCATATATAAGTGTCAATTATATAACTAAACATTTGATAAAGTTATTAACAAATAAGTAGTTTTAGCCAAATTTCAGAGTGTTTCAAACTTTTTTCTCGTACTCAGAACAAGTTTGTACGGCATTGAAACAATACATATGCTGTTAAGCTTTATTCTAAGTAGACTGTTTGTCAAGTAACAAGTTAAATTCTTTTTATTGTATATGTGAGACGAATTTCCTAGCATTTTATGGATTCTCCGGGTTAATTGTATGGTAAAGAAGGCCAATTCTTATAGAAGATTGTAGAGAAATTTCGCTGGTAGGTCGCTCCCACTTCGACTACATATAAATTAACAACATAGCGTTAATTTATTTATTAATTCAAACGAATTAACAAAATATGCTTATTTTCGTTAATAAATTTTATTGTCTTAGTAGTCACGTAGTACATACTAGTCTATGTAAGTTGACTTCTTATGACTTCATATCCAGTTTGTTATCAGGCTGCGGCATCTATTCAGTACCCATAGTAGCGAATGGATCTAGAACACTGCCCACATACTAGCAGCATCATTAATTTAATCGTTATTCAGGTACAGTCAGGCACCTATACTCGTACTGTCCGGAGATAGCAAGTCCACTCGGCGCGAGATAAAAGTCGGCGGGCGCCGGCGTCGACACATAAATAAATATATTCATTAGGTGACACCCACGCGGTATCTTGCCACTAAATCGTGCGTGTCCCGCGCCCCAGCGGCTGTCCTACTCCCTTGATGCGGGAGGCTGTACGACACTCGGACGCTTTCAATGGACTAAAAGAAAAAATAAGAATAAGTGTGAAGAAAACTCGAATCTCTATGGACCCATTATATCTATACATTACAAGGTTTTTGTTCAAAGTAACATCGTTTAATACTATTTAAGTACAATAAATAGTTCACAGAATTATCTATTTTATAATTAAGTAATTACTAACTTTATTCCGCCCGGTATTACCTGTATGATATTTCAATCAATAACAAATATATTGACCGATATTGAATAGACTTCATATTACAGTCCATATTGATTGGAAATTTCAAGAAACATGGTCCATGAACATAGAAATATAATTATTTATTTTGTTGAAAATGATTGTTTCCTTTATACCTATTATGACAGAAATAGAGATCCAATTTAAACTGATTTCTGAATTACTTATTATTAAGAATGATATTAATTATTTTTTTGAAGTTATTATGTATCTATGAAGGTCGCTCGTATAGGTTTAACAATAATTGTAGTAAATCATCACAATGTGATTTTGATTTAAGGTATGTAAGTATTGTCATATTAGTTGCAATACCATACTCCAATTGCTATGAAACATATACATGGAGTATGGTATTGTAAATAAATTAGTGGATTAAAAATATAATTTAAGAAAACATTATCTTATACAAGTAACATACTGCGTCGACCCATAATAATGGGTTGAAGGCAAGGCATGAAGATTATGCGTTATGATTGTAATATATCAGGAAAATAATTTATAACTATGTCATAGAAAGTTATTAAAATAAATAAATAAGCTTTAGTTAATAATTATGTTAAGATTTTAAATCACTACGTATGCCTGTAATATGTGTAAATGGCTAAATAAGCTAAATGTAGCTAATAAGTAATATTAGAGATAATATTTCTACTTTAATATAGTCATCATCATCTGCTTCTTCCTTATCCCATTTATTTGGGGTCGGCGTAATATGTTTTTCGCTTCCAATCATCCCTGTCATCGCGTTATTTACTTCCTTTCTTACCATATCATCTTTCACACAGTCCATCCATCTCTTTTTCGGCCTTCCTCTGCCCTTATAACCATCGACATTCATATGTAATACCTTTCTTAAATATAGTATCTACACATAATTAAATCATTATAGAAAACATTAAGAAATTACAACAACGAAAGCAATTCACGTGACACTTAATGAAGTAATATCAGATAGGCATAAAAAATATAATACATCATGGTTTAGATATTAAAAACGTGAAAACGCATTCTATTATTTCTACAGCAAATTTATGTATCTTAAAAAGATAGAAAATATTAAATCGGTGTTATTACTCTTATATTCAATATATTTCAATTTTATAATTATATATATTACAATAATGTATATCGAAATTAAGTAATTGGCTAAAAAGATATGGTATATTTAAGATAATTTTTAATTAATTAGGTAATGTAGATTGAAGCTAGGTGCTATTATATTATATATTATATCTTATTTATAACATTAATAAGACTACCAATTACTAGGTTCAAGATAATTTCAGAATAAACTTAGGTATTTTGTAAAATTTTATACCTACAAGAATGAAGAACAACACTTCATTTGTTCGCTTGTTTAGGAAAAGTAAATAGGTCCTTTCTTGTAATAGGTATAAAATTTTACAAAATACCTAAGTTTATTCTGAAATTATCTTGAAATATTTTTTTTTTGTTAAATTACATTTATTAAGCAAAGCTTAATTTACTCGTTAAACTACTGCTAATGACCAAGGCGCATCACAATTGTTGTTGATATACGGGATTGTCATTTAATGTTAGGTATATCTTGTATGTATGTTCTTGAATAACGATACAATGCAAATAAACTTACTTTAAAAAAATACATTACTTTCTTTCTAGTCTGTTAGTAAATCTATAGAGTGTACAGGACTGGTAGGGAAGTATATATAAAAAAACCTTGAAATTCATAAGCAACTAAAATACTCTACAGGACTAAATTATATTTGATTTCATCTATTTCTATAATATTAGGATGCATGTATATTATTAAAATATATGTATTTATTAAAAGTTAAGAAAATGTTTGATATAAATTTAGTCCACGGTATTATTTAGAATTAATAATACAATTAGAGAAACTATTATAGGCATCATAGATTAGGTTCATACTAGGTAATCAATATAAATATATACTCATTTAAAAAAAACCCCTCTATATTCTTTTTTATATATATATATTTTTTGATACATTTCTATAATATAGTAGTTGTCGTCATAGTATAGTGAATATTCACCCAACTTAACTTAAATATTGTATATTAATAAAATATATGTATTTAAAATTAAAAAGTTAAGAAAATGTTTGATATAAATAACATATAACAGTCACCACAACTACTTAGTTTTAGCAATAATATAATTAATAATAAAAGACGTTTTTACTTATATTTATATTATAATATGATTTATATAGATAAATAGTTCTATTAAGAACGTATTGTTTGGTAGAATAGTTTTCGATATAATGTTATGACCTATACCGACAGAACTTAAGAATATGTAATAAATAATTTGATGTATATAAGTTATCATGGATCAGGATAAGTAGACCAATTTAATTATAATAGTTACATAATATTTTGTGCAAAAATTTAAATATATATTAATATAAAAGACAATACATATCGGCATACTTTATATAGTTATTAGGTATACAAATACAGCATAAATGTTACTAGTACTTACCTTTATTTGATTTAAAAGCAGCATTTACAGAGTACACAGTTTTCAAAAGAAAAACCGCAATGTCGATTGGGATTGCTATAAATTAAAGAGTAGCACAACAAAGTTTTACCGATCAAAAGAGTTGTGGAACTAGTTGCATTTAACGCCAGTTGGATATCGGCGGAACCTTCCGGTAATTCTGTTTCAACTGCAATTATAAATAAAAACTCGCCGTGATACATACACCTTAATAGTACGTGATCAAAAGATGTCCATTTATGTGGCTTTTTGCTGTAGCAATTTACAAACCTCTTTGCCATATGTAATTATTGACTAATTCGGATTTAATTTCCACTGATTATTTCGTTCAATGTGGAACCATATGTTGCCGTTCATGTTTTCTTTCATTTCCAATAATTTTCTTGTACTTAATGGAATACCATTAGTTCGTAGATAGTCCAGTTGTATACTCGTATATGTATATATTATGTATTTGCCATAGATATATATTACAGGAAAGTTTAGGATTTTATTTTCAAGTAAAAGATAAACAGTAACATAATATAACAGCGTTACTTCACACTCATTTCGGTAGCAAATTGAGTAAAAATGATAAATAAACAAAAATATCGCACACTTCTTAATTTTATATTATTGAACTAGTTTTAGAACCATCTGCTTTTTTCCCAGAGTATCCATGAATAATTACAATTGACAACCTGAAAAATAAAGACTTCAGAATGAGCAATATTTAAGTACCTATCCGATAATGAGTTTACTCTTCAAGTCAATTAAAAGAATGTGTTCAATAGAGTAACTATTATAGCCGGATACTAAGCGTTACTAACACTACTTAATTAAGAAGTTAGTCAACGACAGCTGTCATCTCTTAAATTGTTATCGATTTCATATTGGAGAAAAAGAGAGAGGTATATATTAACACCTCCGTTGTAAAGAAATGGTAAAAGATCACCTGTGCTCACTACCGTAATTCTACCAGTCGGTAGAGCACCTGTCCCTTTCATGCGATTCAAGCTCAGGCCGAACCGAACGAGTGCGAGTAGGAGTAGTTTCATTCCTGTTTATAATGACAAGATCGTAAAGGTATTTTCAATGAAATGGCAAACGAGACTTTATGACCAAGGAATAAGGATTATGTTAGATATTTAGGAATGTGTTAGAAATTTCAAGTCAGAGAATGGGACGGAAGGCTGCAATCGAATCGAGCGCTGCCGTAATTTTGACGCGTTCAGAAATCGAATTAAGAACGTTAGAGTGAGAGGTTCTTGGAAGCTCTATACAGTGGAGGTAGTTTTTTGTTATTGTTTGGTAGCGGAGATTTTTTCCGAGGCGTGCAAATGGGAGTAGGCGCGCGAGTGGGCGCGCCGGCACGACAAGCGCGCTCTTCAGTGTTCTGGTTGAGCTTCAAGCGAACGCGTGCGGGCGGAGTGTTATCCGTCTTATAGGTGCTTTTTATCTGGCTAATGAATTAAACATATAGAACAATTACAGGTGCAACGATCTAGAGATCCGTGTAATTTAAACGTGGACAGTAACTGAGTGAACTCTTGGTTGGTGCCGTATGCTCACGTTCCGGGAAGTTCGCAAGCGGACGGTGGCCCGACCATGTTGATATCGGCGGGCAGTGGCCCCACGCCTGAATTCTCCCCTGCCTCGTGCTGCGCACCCTGGAAGATGGAACCGGCCCCCCCTGCGGCCGCAGCCATCGGACAAACACTTAATTTATCACCTAATGGTAAGTACTTACTCATTGTGGTTATAAAATAAATGAATACCTACCCCAAAGTTAATTTTGCAATGATTTTCTACCAAACAAATAATTATTATTATTATTATACCATATAGTGAATTCTTGTTAGATTCCTATAAAGGTACTTAGTATATAGGTACTTAGTTTAGTAACACTGTCTATGTTAGATTATTATCCGCCAACGTTTGCTATAAAATATAGGTATAATTTTTATTTACCTGAAATTAATCATAATTCCTTATCGATATTATTTATAGGTTATATATCTAACGGTTATAATACAGATAGATTAAATACATAGATACTACTAAGTATTGACAAAGGTTGTGCTCTGTGTACACTAGTTATATACATACATATTGTTACGTGCTTTGTTAGATAAATTTAAATAATATTTTCAGCCCTACATAGGGTAGGTTCACTAAACTTAGGTATAAAACGTTGCGAAGTAGTGCCTAAATTTACATACATATTCTAACTTTTACTTTCATGTAAAAAATGGTATTACTTCCCTTATATATAATAATTATAAATACTTCTATTATTATCTGATATTTCATGTATTATATACTTGTACTTACTTAGTTACATTACTTATTCAAAGTGCAGTAATAAAAATATTAAATTATTATATTAAAATACAGTTATTATTATTTAAAGCATCCATATACCTGGGATAATATTATTGATAAATATGAAATGCTGTAAAAATAAATTAGACAATAATATTGATAGAATATAACCTACCTGCCATACATATTCTCATCGTCGTCTTCTACTTCTACCTGAGCCCATTTATCTGAGGTCGGCGTAATATGTTCAGACATATTATCATATAATATTTTTTTAATTGATAATTTGAACACTTTACTTAACTATTTTATACATTATAGCGATTTTATGAACGTATGAACCTTAATGTATTGTATGTTTTATAAAAAAATATATTTATATGTATGTACTAATATTATAGAGGTCAAGTTTGTGAGGTTGTAGGGAGTATTCTCTGTACCTACTATCTCTATCGAGGAAGGCTGTAGGCTATATAACAAAACGCTACGCCCAATAGGAGCGGAACTGCAATGATGAATGTAGCAAAAACGGTGGAAACAGGACGCAGATAAAGTTAAAAATTAGGTATTTACAAGTTTTTGTATCAAAAATTATAGAATGCATTTTCACACGTTTTTCATCCATCCACCTAAGAAAGGTTAAGGTCCGTAAATAATTAAGGATTTTGGGTAAATTAATTGAAATACCCATGCGAAGCCAAAGCCCGATATAAAATATATAATATTCTTGTGTTAATTATGGGAAACGTGAACTTTCTGATATAATATATAATACGTATAAATCTATTTGAAATAGATGTATATGATAATATTATTATATACATCTATTTCAAATATACTTATATCAAATACTTAATGTATTTGTTCTAAATATATATAAAAATAAATAATCGAATGTAACTAATATGTAAGCACATTCAGAAGGGTTGTGTAGGAAACTATTTAGTTAAATAGTTCTTGTTCTGTGAAAGAAAATATTTAAAAAATCATACGGATAAACGATTTGTAATATAATAAATTTCATTATTTATTTATGAGTGATGTGATGTGAAAATTAACTAATTTACATTTTGCTGAAAATGTTCGCGCAATTATTTTAAATTTATATCATACCACTATCCATTACCCATAATTGAATTTCGTAGGCAATTATAATAGAAATAATATCTCAGGATCACTTAGCGACGTCTAGTCCCAAGCTAAACGGAGCTTGTGTTATGGGTACTAGACAATTGATTTAATTTGTTTTGTAAATATATAGGTAAGATATGTACTAGAAAAACCCAGATCGATAAAAACAATCATACTCATTAATACAAGTGTTTGTACCGTGCGATAAATCGAACCTGCGCCTATCAATTATTAGGGTATTTGATAAAAATATAACAATTTCACTATTTTATGTAAGTAAATAGGTTTACCAAGCCGCCCAGCCAGTATAGTGCCTAATAGTACATATAGAAAATTTCATTTCTGAATATACCCACATTTCTGTAGTAAATAACAAAACATATTACGAGAAGGTACTATCTGGGAAGTTAATTTTTGGATAGATATTGATTTTAATGAAGTTATAATTTGCAATGATAATTGTATAGCATTACATGTTCTAAAAATAATAGGCATGCAAGTTTATATGCCATAAGATAATAAGTAATGTGATAGGGAAGAAAGGTTCTCGAATAGAGATCCCTCCTCTCGAACACAGAACGGGCTGACGACCTCAAAAATGTATGTATGGTGTTAATAGGTCAGGCCTATACTTGAAAATGTAAAATGAGCGATTTATATTGGAGTGGAGTACCTATGGAGCAATGGATAGATTCTAGTGAATATTTTTACAATATAACAGAAAATTCTTTAGAAGACAAGGGGATATGTGGAATTCTTACCCATTAAAAATCCACGCGGTGTACCTACTAGCTCTATTGCCGGAGTCGCGAGGTCACGTTAGCATTTTACCGCAACTCCGGCGGCGTTGACTCGTCCTGTAGATGACGGTGATAGGGCAGGCCCCATCTCGTTGTTAGGGCAACCTATTATGTGTAACGGAAGTTATATGGTACTGTTTATGTAGTTAACGGTTGCAGTACAATCACGTGGACTTTTTTTTCACAAGCTTTGCCTTGGTTTACATTAAAAAAATCAAAAGTACCCTAAATATGTTAACGAACATAATAGTAAAAAGAGAAAATAATGCTACTTATGTAAGCCATATAAAGTTACTTCGCGCGTGTATCGAGACTATAAAATTGTATTGTGTTTAATTGATAATTTATGTTATTTTGGATCGAACGCAGTTGAATGAAACAGTCGACCTATTGTCATTTGTTTTTGCACTTGTTTGGCCCATTATGGTATAATATGATACGTACGTTTATGGAGTGGAACTTGTATCACTATTATAGTCAAGTACTAGATGAGTAAAGGTAGCATTCCGAACATTATGCGACAGTTTCGTGACACCGTCGTGCGTGTTGTTGTTACAACGAAGTCGAGCAAGTACCAGTATTTACACGAGTATGACTATGCAAGTGTCGGAAAGTTATAACGCGTATTTTTTAAGTCTATGGTAACCCTCAGGCAATGGCATTATAAAGTTATAAAGTCTATCTAGGTATATATAATATGCATGATAAATTTATATGGTTATATGGACAATTAGACAACTAACACATTCGACTGTTTTTTTTTTCCCGTAAAAATAGCCTATATAAAAATAGACGTAAAGATGTGTCTTCACGTTTTATTAAAAAAATCAATTTAGCGATTTAATCATGAAAAGCTTACATACAAAGAGTCTTATACTTATTTACAAAATTATTTAAAAATTGTCTATTCTAGTATAATTATTATAAGGAAGAACTAAGAAATTTCAAGCTCTTATGAAAAGCTAGAAATTTAGTATTTTTAGTGCGCCACTCAATGTCGTACAATTGATAACTATCTGTTTTAAAAATAGTAAGGACCCACTAAGGAGCTATCATTTGTCATAGCTGGTTCGGCAAACAGCTGCCTGAATGAGTGAGCGAAAAGAGCGGGTATCACGCGACATTGTCAGCATTGTATTGCCGATCGAACTAATTAATCGGTAGATCGGCCTATAGATTGTTCGGTAGCGTTTCCGGCAATGGTTGCTCAATATTCACCAGACAATTTAATGATAAAGCATTTGAAACGTTTTGATTAAAGATATTAAACAATTGGACAGAAAGAATTAGATTATTGTCGACTAGTCCAGTTAGAGAGTTTAGTAGTGGTAAAACTGTGAAAGAGATGCATGATTTATATGCTATTTTTACTTAAACTACTCTAGTGAGTTAAAAGTAAAATACTCTTATTTACTTTATAGAAATCGCATCTAGTTTTTGAATAAATTGACTTTTGCATCGAATCTTTATTCCTTTTGATTGAATATTCTATACCACAGAAAAAGTATTTATGTAGTATCTTATCTTATATAGTATCTTAGGTATTCTATGCTTGTATTAAAATTATATAGCAGATTTCTAACGTTTAATTGTATTTGTAACAAAATCACCTATAAACAGCCTTATTGTGTATGTATTGAACACAAGTAGTGCTGCGATATACACATAGTTCTTAACGCAAAATTACTGTATTCATCAGTTGCGTACTTATTTTGAATTGCTGACAATTTTAGAAGATAAATATTTTAGACGACACATACTCGTAATACGTAGCAGTTATTGCAAATGTCATTTCATCAACAAATGCAGTTGCGTACGTTGCGTCGTTGCATCACTGTCATTGAAACGGCATTGCCTCCTAGAAATAGAAGAGAAATAGTTACTAATTATGTATGAACCGGCTGACGAATATATACTAAATATATAAGATTGTTTGTATACTACGGTGCTAATCTCAGGAACTACTAGTTCGAATTATAAAATACTTTTTAAGTATTGCATAGCCCATTTATCATGGAAGGCTAGGTTTAATAAAATTGTGTTATGGTCAAAGGGGTGGAGAATCAATGAATGAAAAAAGAGGAAAAAGTAATAACTTTTCCCATTTTTATAACTTTTTACTGACTAAGTTGTGCGGGTCAGCAGAATCAGTTATATCTGGTTTTCAAATTCTTCAGTTGTGGGAGATACCATGTAATTTTACTGTATTATATTATACATTCTTTGGAATCCACTAACAAAATATTTACTCTTTACCTAACTTGACTTAGATAATACGTCTGCAAAAAGTCCTAAAAAGAATGTATAAAATTATCGAAATAGTAGTAATGTTTACATTAAAATTTATCAATTAAATATCTACTGAGGTAAACTTTCTACAATGTCAAATGTTTTTCACAAATTTCTCCCGCAAAACTGTCTGCCTAACTAGCTTGGTTCGAATTTTAAAGTACTGGTATAACAGAATATTACAGGCCGCGGC